AGGAATGGAAGAAATGACTGGAATGGACCGTCTATCCTGTAGATCAATTTCACCACTTAATATAGCTGTATGAGTTTCAGTGATCTCCATATCCTCAGGCAAAGTAAAGATAACTGTTTTGCTAATTGAAACAGCCTTCTGTCCAACCTGCTTAGCCAGGTTTAACCTGTCCTGACATAAGACTCTTTCAATACTGTTATCAACAGGATGAGACTCTGTCATTTCCATGTCAGTCGGATTACTTGGAAACATAATCGTTTTATCAATGGAAGTTAAAGGAACAGACTGATTGTGCTGCCTACTTTGTGGAGAAGTTTTTTGCAAAGCTGCATTATGGGTTTTAGTGACTTCCATATCATCCATAACAAACATAGCTTTGCTATTTGAAAGAGCTTCCTGTCCAGCTTCCTTATCCAAGTTCAGTTTATCATCACATAGAACTTCTGCGATAATTTTATCAGCAGAGCAAGACTCGGTCATTTCCATGTTACCCTGGTTACCTGTGAACATAACAGTTTTATCAGGATGAAATGAAGACAGCGAAAAAAGGGCTACCTTATCTTGTGAGGCAGTTTCATGGCCTATTGCAGCTGTATGGCTCTGTGTGATCTCCATGTCATTCTCCTCCTCATTCAGTGAAAATAAAACAGTCTTTTCACCTGTTGCTCCCCTCAAGCTTTTTCTTCCAGGCCTGTTAGCTATGCTTAGCATCCCTTGAGATGCAGCCTTTTCCATAGATTTATCAATTACAACAGTATCAAGTCTAGTTATTTCCATGTCGTTACTGTATGTGAAAATACAAGTTTTATCCTCAGGATTTAAGGTTATGTCACTGTCTGAACTTCTAGGCTGTAAAATTATTTTATTGTCTGCTGCAACTGTATGATTTCTGGTGATGTCCATATCAGCATCATCTGAAAATATGGTGGTTTTCTCACCCAAACGAGAAAAATGCTTTGTGTCAGTAACGGCTAACGTTTTCTTGGCAGATACCAAGGAGTCTGCGTGGCACCCAGACTGCTCCTGACTATTTACAGTCATTTTGTCCTCTTTTTTTAAGGATAATGTATTATTTTCATCTTGAACCACATGTCTGGGTACTGCTTTTCTTTCTGGTAGAACAGTATTGATGTTTTGATCAGGAACCTTTACTAAACAGCTTTCAGTCAAGTCCATGTTTTCATCAGAGGAAAATACAACTGACTTTTCCAAAAATGAAGGCAACCGGGAATTTCCCTTAGGTGGTTCAGCTGTATTGGCTAGTAATGGCTCTTCAGCACATTTCAAGAGCCGACTATCAACTGAGTGAGGATTTTTCAAATCCTCTTTTGAAGAAACTGTTTTACTGGTCCAAAAATCTCTCCGAGAATCTACTTCACCTGACAACACTTTGTTTACTCCCTCCATAGTACGGGTTTTCTCTTGCTTGTCAGAGTTTTGGTAATTTGTGTTCATTCCTAATATTTTTCCAAGTTGTTCATCTCCTTTAATTCCAGGAGGAACAGGCTCATTACTGGAAATAAAAGAACCATTTGGAGCAAAAGGAACAACAGTTGGCTTATCCGAGTTCATTTTGAAAACCCCGCATTCTATTGCTGCGGTCTGACTTATAGTGATATCTGCATCAGAACCACCAGAAAACAGAAAGGTCTTGTTTTGCAGCTGTTTAGATATTACATTACTTTGACTATGATTATTCTCATGATCTTGCACAGTATTAATAGGAACAACATCAAGGGCGGCAGTATGAGTTTTGGTTATGTCCATGTTTTGATCATCTGAAAGCATGGCTGTTTGATCATTTGTGCAGGAAAGTGAAGCATTCAAAGGGTTTTTTTGGAAAGACTGAGATACACCAATGTTTTGCTTTTGCGAAGACATAAACGCACAGTTGTTAGTGATAACATTCTTAGGGACTTCCTTCTTTTGCTCTTGGAATGAGCATACTTTCTTTGCACTGGAACTCAGAGCACTTGCCAGAAAGTTTGTTTTTCCAAGCTTCTTATCGACTACTAGCACCTCAAAATCTGTAGTATTCATTTCTATAGAATGGCGACTTTTAACATTCACATCAATATCCATTACCTCGACATTTTCGTTGTCCATATTAAAAGAATCTGAAACTTCTCTGTCATCTTTGTTCTCATTTTTACTTGGAATTATTTTATTATGCATTTGTTTTGCTTCTGCTCTTATCCCAGTGCTTTGATCATCAATGACAACAGCCTGGCATTTAGTTATTTCCATTTCTTCCTGGTCATTTAAATTGGGAGAGGTAGATGTGATACCAAGAAAGTGAGGTTTGCAGGCAAAAGAACTGGACACACCAGCAGGAAATTCGTTTTCTACATTCCTTCTTTCATCCTTGAGAACACAAGTTTTAGTCAAGTCCATATCTTCTCCAGAAAAGATTACGGTCTTCTCACCTGGCAAAGAAACAAGCAGAGAGTTTGCTAGTCTGTGCTGAAGTCTACCCTTACAAATACCATTAGAAACTGAATTTGCATGTGAATCAAAGCCAACATTCATGGAAGCACTCCCGTGATCTTGGGTCACTTTTTCAGTTCTTTCATCTGAGCCAGAAAATAGTACAAGTGCACTGTTTTTATATGGCATAGAAGATCGATTATCAGAAGATACTAGACTTTTTGTAATGTCCCTATCATCATCAGGTGCTGGATGTGTGTTTTCTACTACTGAAGAGTTTGTATTGACTGTTTTTTCAATAGCTTTACTGCATGAACTGCTGATTTCCTTGGTACTTTCATTATCTATCACACCTGTATAATTCCCAGTGATTTCCATGTCATCACATGTAGAAAAAACAAGAGTTTTATCACCTCGGAAGACAGTGTCAGAAGAAATAGATCCTGGAATCGCAGACATTGTCCTGGCCTGTTGTTCAACACTTTGCAGTGCTGGAGTATCTAGCCTGTTTTCAACATTTACTATTTTCTTGTCTGTACAAAGTTGGGGTTCCTCCTGAACCATTAACTGCGGATTAGATGGTCTCTTTAATATAGAATTATTATCTAATTCCGTGGCTGGGAAATCCTTTTTGAAGTTTAAACTTTGATTCTCAACACCGGAGAAGGAAAAAGACATTTTTGCAGTGTGACTAATTGTCATATCCATACCAACATCTACAAATGCCTCAGTAACATCTGCACATACTAATTGCTCTGGTGGAGCCTCACAAATACCAGAAAATATAGTCTTAACATCAGATGCCTGACATTTTGTCATTTCCATCCCATCATCTTGCTCTCTAAAGATTTTTGTTACGTTGCAGGTGGCCTCTGGTTCATGGGAATATATATATTCCACTGATGCTCGTGCCATGTCTTCTGAAACTTGTGAAGGGACAAAAAAAAGGTTCTCTTTTTCTGGTCCTTCAGTAGGATTAAGCACCTTTTCATTTGACTTCAAGCTCATCAAAAATTCATTAAAATTTATTTTTTTTACTGTCATAGCATCTGGTTTCTCTTCAGAAGATGGGCATGAATGATTTGTAGGATCACAGAAAAAATGAAATTCTTTGTTCATTTCTGACTTTCCATTGTTAGTCTTTAACCCAGCCAGAAAAGATGTGATATCTATTTTCTCAGCTTTGTCAGTCTGATTGCTTTTCAGGTCACGTGTAATCACTGCAGTGTGACTAGCTGTCATATCCATTTCATTTTCATCTGAAAAGATAAGTGTTGTGTCATGCCTATTCGTTCTTTGAAAGGTGGTGTCTGCATCGTGCCACTAAAAAAAGACAAGAAATGACAATTACTGACACTTATCACAAGTGATACAACAGTTTATTCTGTTTAAAACAAAGCTCAACTAATGTAGCCCTAAAGTTACAGCTCTGTCTTCTTTGAAGAAAGATATATTGCGTTGATTCTTCCTGGACAAGCAATAGCAAACACTTTCAAGGAAAGAGGGAAGATTTAATTATTACAGCACATTGTATTTAAAAGGCATGTTTTTTTAAAAAGAATTTGTCTCAGTTTTACTGTTAGGCAAAGACTTACATACACACATATCTTAGTAAGCATGTAACTGGATCACTCAGTCTTATGGATCAGTATTTTCCATTTCTCTATGATGTGGTTTGTGCCTTTTCTTCCTCACTGCAGGAGAAAACTGCTTAATTTAAGAGGCAAGCTTCCCAGAGCAGCAATGCAAGCTGGAAGTTTTAAAAGTCTTTCCCACCCCTGACTCGGAAGGTTTTAGTCTCCTTAAAGACAAAAATTGGCCAGTAACAAATATAATTCTATATCATATCAAATATCATGACCATATTGATCAAAATCAACTTTACGCTTACTTCAAATTACATATGATATTTTATAATTCGTGAAATAAAGTACACTAGGAAAAGCACAATTGTACGTATTATGTAAAACAAGGAGAGCCAAAGTTTCAATTTGACCGCCATAGCCTCGTAGTATACATGTTCTCACCTACACTAGATTTGTTTACACTGCTTTTTAACTGCCTTTTTAAAACATGCTTTAACAAGGGCCAACATAGTTTTATAACCCATCCCTTTAAACTCAGCATATAAGCCAGAAGTCATTGCAGCAAGGGAGACTGTTTTGGCAATTGCTTTCTTTGAGAAAGTAGCGCTATAACATCATGACTGAAGTATAAGACTGTCCAGAAATTTTGTGCAACTGTGCCTGCAAAAGTCTCAACTAAAAAGTTTGGCTCTTATCACTTGAGCCAACCGAAGTTCTTCAGTTACATTCAGTGACATTAACGTCAATCATTGTGATTTTTCTAAACCTTCTAACGATAGGGTCAGAGAGTACGTTTGTATATATCTATTCTACAGCATGGACTAAAAACTACCCGAGCTTTAATAGCCAGACCTATTTGAAACATAAGCTCCTTTGCATATTCTTAGATAAGAGTTGGAAAGAATGGAGAAACTAACTCAGGGACTCAATTTAGCATGCAATTTTAAAAACACAGGTTCTCAGTATCACAGTATCGTGTTTACAGACTGATAAAATACTTGAAAATATAGATTCCCTTTCTGAGGAATTTGACATAACCACAATGACTTATCTTTTTAGGTACAGCACACAAAAATAAAAGCCTTCCTATACCTCAGTCTGCTGCACCAATGCCTGGATAGGGGCATGAAGCAAAGTGTCCATCCCTGTCAAAAGAAAAGGAAATACTCCATTTGTTGAGCTCATTTTAGTATCATTCTATCCACTGAACTGAAGATCTATATACTCATTTTACAAATATCACCTTCTGAGCAAGCGCAATTAAACCCAAACAGATCCTGAGATATATTTTCAGTAATCCTTTGAGCAGGTGGAGAAACTACCCATACTTCTACAACACAAGGCTTGTAAACAGCATTACAGGACAAAATGTGTTCATGTAACGGTTGTCTCAGTGAGGAATCTGTTCTGGGATTATTAGAAATACTCTAAGAAAATCAGTACTTTTTGAAAAAAATCATCATTTTGTTATTAAATCTATTTCAAAACTCACCAGTGATCTCACACTGAACAGCTTCAGGTTCTTCATTTCTGCAAAAGGTGGTTTAGGTAAACAGCTTGTTAAAAGATTTCAAATCAGAGGTCTTCAATAGCATAGTGAAAGGCAGAAAATTCAGTTGCTTAACGACTAAGGACTGTGCAGCAGATAAACACTGCAAATAAGTCTGCAATATATTCCAGTTGAAGCTGCAGTCTTACTGACCCATGAGAGCCTCTCAGCTTAGCATGCCATAAGCCATCAATCAATATAATAGTTGGCATTTTTCTTCCTCAGTAGCAAGTAAAGAAAAGAATGATTATTTATTTTTAACTCCAACCTTCCACTGTCAGTTATTCCTTTCTCTTTGGGGAGCTGAAGCTGCATGCCTAAAGCTTAAGTTTGTTTCTCTGTACAATGAAAAGCCATGTATATTGGCCAATTTGGGTGGCTTTCAGCCTAACTTTTAATGCCTTCTGCTTTATTTTACCCTTTCGAGACCAAGAAACCTAGAGCACTGCTTTTTTAAAAATATATGTTACTATATAGGTTTGAAACGTTTAAAAACATGAGTCAACTATAGCTGTACATAAGCTGTTTCCTTGCTATACATTTAAAATATAAGAAATTTCCCTTCACACACAGAAGCTGTCTAAATCCGTTACTTTACTTGCCAGCTCATTTTAATTTTAAAAATTCCATCATTTTGTTTTATCTAGACAAGAGCTTTGAGGCTGGACTAGCACTTTATCTTTGGGGGAGAAAGTTATGTTAAATAAACATTTAAGACTATCTCTAACAGAGATGGAATCTGGTAGGTGTTTCCTGGCAGACATTCATAAACAATCAAATTTGGAAGGGGGACGTTTCAAGCCATAATTGTCACTTTTGGTGACAATTGCTATATGTATATGTGTGTGTATGTGTGTGTATATACATATATATATATATATATGCATGTGTGTGTGTGTATATTTTTTTTTTTGCAGGATCCCTTCTCTCATTGATTAAAAGTACTCAACAATTTTATATCTAAGATAAACAAGTATGTTGCATTTGTCTGTTTCTCTGACGAGAAGCATTTTAACAGTTGTATATCATGTAAAGAAATGTATTTGCAGGACAGAGCTCTAGAATCATGGGAAGTTTTTTCCCAAACTTACTGATTAAGCAGGACTTGTTTCCTTGTATCTGCTGCACACTCTAAAAATAATAAAAATTAGACATTAAAATGTGAGAAACAGCATCAAAACATTCAAAGACAAGAATAAACTGCACAGAAAAAAAATGTCCTAGAGTTCTCACTCTTGATATGCCTTTCTATGAAGACAACAGCCTTGAGAAACAGGGCAGTTGAAACTGCACTGGCTTTTCAGATCCCTCCTAGGTAATCTTTGACAGAGAGACCATGACATTCTGCTCAGCTTTTGTTTGATTCAAAATCCCAAACAATTTTTTTTTCCAGGTGTAGTTTGCCTAAAAAATAACTCCTACTCTGAGCTACAAGCTCCACAGTACTAGAAACTAACAGTTTCTCAGCCAGTCCCTTGTAAACAGCTGACTGTATCATCCCCTATCAGTGACTGACAAGCCTGCTACTTAAATTCAGGCTGAAATCATGTTGCTAATAGCCTATGCATCCTGTCAGGAGAAGAGAAAGGAGTTTTACCTGTATTTTCTCTCTCTGTCACATTAGTTTTAAGATCTCTCTGGAAGACTCTGCAGCTAAAAACAAAATAACCAGTTTTTGAAAACACAAGATAGTAAAGTTAAGAAACACACACACACACCCCACCACCACAACACACAAAACAGCCCTAGTTTCAGTCTTTTCCCACACTGTATGTTCTGAAATCAGATGGTACTGAGCCCAACCATATTATCCAGTGGGAAGATGCCGTTTATCCTACTTAGGATGAAAATCACTAAAAAAGTTAATGGGAAGCAGTAATTCTTAATTACAGGAAATTCTCTCTTAACTATTTTTTTTTTTCTAGCTAGGTATTAAAAATGAATTATGGCTCTCTTGGAACTCAAAATCTGTGAATCTCAATATAACCACAGTCAACAGTTTATTTCCTTGAATACCAACACTTTTCTGCAAATAGCAATTTTAGAGGACACCAGATTATTACCTATAGACTACCTCTTACGTTTAAATAAAGCATGTACATCTGCATCCTTCAGATCAAACTTACTTTATGGTGTCCGCAAAGCTGACGCGGCGAGAGTTTTTCCGACGTTTTTCCATATTGACATCCTGGCAATAAAGAACACAATGGTCTGATATACAGAGGATAGTTCCTATTCCACAAACCACAACAAGCATAGTTTTTCATTAAAAACTGGGGGAAAAAAAAAAAGAATACACACACACACACATTCAGAGCCCAACAAGTACATATATTTATTTACCAGCTTCCTTAAACTACTTTATAGTTCTCCAACTCCTCTCCTCCTGACCTTTAGATTCCCATCTCAGAAGAAGTAGGATCCAAAGAAGATCACTTTATAAAAACTACCCGGTTTCAGATACAAGCAGCAGAATTTCAGTTACAAGGATTTTTACTCATATTGCCTTCCATACTAAGGAAAAATGGGTAATTGCTTAGCACGAGAGCTGCAGGGTTTTTTTTTCTTTAGTTTCCCATGACAAGAACAGGAAGGAAAAAATACGTTTGTCTTTATGAGAGAAAAGGAAGGATGCATGAAAGAATTAAAGCTACCGCAGATAATTTCTCTACTGAAACGTTAAGATGGTGTTACTGACTACACGATCACAGTAACGCAGCGTTACAAGGTATGTGAAAATGCACTATTACATATACTGAAAAGCTAACCCATCCTATCACCGCTGTGCCGTTCTTTGCAATAACCTTCCTAACTAAGCAGTTCAGCCTCAGCACAAATGAGCACTCATTATTTAGGAAAAGAGTATCCAGGTATCAGGCCTAATACATGCACAAGACTAACAAGGCCTGTAATATACCGCAAACAAATTTTTAATAATGCCAACAAACAAGCAGTTATGAAGAATGTCAAATTAATACCTCTGATAGTATTACATTGCTCATTAGCAATATTGTTCATCATTGTTAACAGATTATAGAAGTGAAGACTTGCAACTGTGCAGATAGTAAGTTATCCACTTTTAATACTCATCCTAGTTTTGAAACAGGTATTGTGCATAAATATTTCAGGGTCATATTTCACATTCTGAAGAAATTATTGGAGATATTTTCACTGTTTTCAAGTTCTGTGATCAGCAACAGCTATATATATGAAGTAACCAGAACATTAGTCCACAGAACAAATCTTAAGTAAAAATGGTGTTAAAAATTCCAAACTGAATAGCTCTATAGTCACAAGTCCTAAGAGGCAACAGGCACTGTAAACAAGAAATATATTCTGGATATAATATGTATATATATATAAAATATAATATGCAATATATGTAATATTCTGCATGTAATTCTGGAAGAAAATATTTATTTTTAGTTTTTATGTTAACTAAGGGTTGCAGGGTAATTTTTTTCAGATGTAAAACCATCTTAATGACTTCACCGGTTTGAACACTAGCAAGTCAAACTTCAAGTCAAAGGGACTGTAGCAGAAGCAAATTACGCCTATTAATCTCTGGTTATTCACCTTTTCTTAATGGAAGAAAATGTACAAAAGTATAAGATAAACTCAGTGTATTTCTTACATGTAATACTCCAAACATTATTCTCCCTAAGCAGCTATTACTACAAGTATTTTTATGCTTGCCCTGTTCCAATGACACAATTTACTCAGCAACAAGTTAGAAGCAACTGCAGATGTTAAGAGCATCAGCAAGGAGGAATTTAACAGACCTACCTGAGTGAATTCATTCCCATTTCCAAGATCATGAAGAGGACTTCGTGGAGCCTTTAAAATCTAAAAGAAAATATAAGAGTTGAGAAGATGAGCCATAACTACCACCAAAGAAAGTATCAAGCAGCAAGCAAATGGAGTAATAAGCTGTGGTTTACTCACAGTTATTATACAAGCAGTTCAAGATATCACTTGTGCAGAAAAGAAAGTTACCATGGATTACCTGGCGTGACTTATAATTTGCTTTTACATTGGGCAATTGTCCCAGACTCTGGTCTTGCTTCACACCAAATCATCCTACATAGGAATTCAGTTGGAGTTGTACTTTTTTCTGAGATTGCGGGAGCAAAAGATTAGAGAGATCGGATTTGGCATCTCATATAAGATGAAGAGGCTTTGTGTAAAAGAATGAGTAGAAGTCTCCGGCAAGGTTTGGCAAAAAAATCTTTTCTACCACAAAGATATTAATAGAAAAACAAGGGAGATAGAGGCACAATGTTGGATCTTAGTTTAGGAGGTAACCTGCAGGGGGATAGCAAAAAAGGAAAGGAGCATGGGCAGCCACCCTATTCTCTGCCCTAAAGAGTAACACATCACAAAGTTAATGCCTTGTCTTTTCTTTGGAAATTAATTTGGGAATGATCGCCTTAAATAAACAAATTTCAAATTTTAAAAAAAAAAAGTGAATTTAGCCTAAAGGAAAAATGTGCAGATAACATTAGAAGAGAATTTTGTATTAGTAAACATTTGGAAAGAGAGCTTTAGAAAAACTACAGATAGAAGTTAATTTGTAAAATTCTTTTGAATTCATAACCAAACAGTTGTACTAAAAGAACACACTAGAAAAGCACGGTCTGCATTTACTAATGCATCTTCTTCACAACATTTGGGGTGGGGGGGAAATGGAGAAAAGGGTGAGTAAATCGTCTTTCTGAATACTGAGTTTGGTCACTTATGCCAGAAAACTACCAGTTGTATCCATATACACTGACTTCAGGTGCTACTCTTTCAGTGCAAATTGCACCACCTTTTGTCATGGTGCTAGGTGAACAGCAAAGATTTCAAACTTGAATACATCAGCCAACCCACACACCCACTGAACTGCTATTTCAAGAGAACTCAGAAAACTGATTATATGGCCAGAGAGAATTTATAAGACCCACCAGTACCAGTCAAAAACTCCCATAAATCTAATCTTTCTTTGCTTTTGGAATGTTTCTCTTTAGACTGCGATAAGAAAACAAGTCTCTCTTTACAGCTTCCCTTTCTTTTCCTCACACACCCATATGGTTTTATTTTGGGAAACGCTTCAAGTTACTCACAGAGGAAAGCCTTTTCCCTCTGATGCGCTCGGTATTATCACTGGAGGAGGAAAGAAAAAGAAACGGATATTAGTCCATAACCTTGCACCAAGATGTATTTCTTGAACAATACTACCATGTTTTTAAAGTTAAACTGATTGCTCCATTATTTTTTAAAAATGTGAAATTATATAAATTAAGCTTGCCTGGAATAGTTAATTCCAGCACCAGCTCCCAAAAATAAGATTTGGGAAATTCAGCAGGTTCCCCTCGATCCCCCATGGTTGGTTAGTCTCTGGACGATCCACTGTTATGAAATTTCCTCAGAGCTTTCCTATATACGATAAAAGCAACTCCCTGCTCTTCTTCACAGAATCATAGAATGGTTGAGGTTAGAAGGGACCTCTGGAGATCATCTAGTCCAACCACCATTCTTCCTCACAATGGACAATGCATTTCATTCCAGAGATGCTGAAGAGCACATTTGGATTAAGCAACATTTCACCTTTAAATGACAACAATATTTATACCACAATAAGAACTGCATGAGGTTTCAACTTACTTTTCCATGTTAGGGTCTGAATAAGTCTTGTCCATTTCTGAAGGATGTGTCTTTCCTATAGGATACAGTACTGAAATGCAAAAACATTAATGAACATTAGTAACAAAATTGCACACAATTACAAGTAGATATTATCCTCAGTTAGATACCATAACCTTTCTCTCCACCTTTCTTTAGTCACAGAAAGGCACTGAAGTTTGACAGGAGGCTTTCAGTCCACGTTTTCTACAATGTATCATGATATTAAACAACTGGGCTAGGTAGTTCGATTCTTACTGCTTAGACGTTCTTTTATTTAAAGTTAAGATTCTGGTAACTGTTGGAGATAAACGTGAGCAAAGTTTATAGAATGCAAAGTTTGCTAGTTTGCTGTGACACACAAAACAATTTTTCATTCACCACTTCTCCCCCCTCATCATATGTAGACATTCCCGCTAGCAGGGAGAACCAGAACACTTTTAAGAAGTTGCATAACAGGCTAGTGAGCTAAGTCTGTGTTATCACAGGCTTAATATTGTCTAACCACAACAAAATTAAAGCCTTTGAATATCAAGAACATAACCTCAGTCTCCTGTGGACCCAGCTTAGGCCACACACACACACACAGACACAAAAGTACCATAGAATCGAGGCTATAAAATCAATACATGCAGTTTTCTGTGCTTTTTCCTGTATTTCAGTGATGATATTTATCTATATGCATCCCCTCTTCTATCACTATGTAAAGTATGCCTATATGGGGGCTATAAACAATCTGATAGCATGTATCATATCACTTTATTTTACCCTTGCTAAACCTCAACAAGCAGTGTCATAAGAAACCTTGCCTTAGGCAAGGACTAAGTGAATCGTAAAAATGTAGAAATGAAGAGCTCTGCACAGAATTGCTCAGCTTTTGCATTTCACAGATCAGCTGAGGTTGGAAGGGACCTTTAGAGATCATCTAGTCCAACCCTCCTGCTCAAAGCAGGGTCAACTAGAGCAAGTTGCTTAGGACATTGTCCAGTCAGATTCTGAACATCTCAAAAAATGGAGACTCCAAGACATGCCTGGGCAACCTGCTCCAGTGCTTCACCACCCTCACTGCAAACAATTTTTTTCTTACGCTTAAATTGAATTTCCTGGATTTCAATTTGTGCTCATCGCCTCGTTCATTCACCATATACTGCTGAGAACAGTTGGACTCCATCTTCTTCACACTCTCCCATCAGATATTCATATACATTTATAAGATAGCCCTTGAGCTTCCTCGTCTCTAGGCTAAAAAGTCTCAGCGCTCTCAGCCTCTCCTCCTCTGTCAGATGCTCCAATCCCTTAACGATCATCATGGCCCTTTCCTGGACTGTTTACAGCAGGTCCATGTCTTTCTTGTATTGGGGAGCCCAGCACTGGACACAGCACTCCAGATGTGGCCTCACCAGGGCTGAGGAGAGGGGAAGGATCACATCCTTCAGCCTGCTGCCAATGCTCTTCCTGATGCAGCCCAGAAAACCATTGGCCTTCTTGGCCACATTGCTGACTCATGGTCAACTTGGTGGCCACTACGATCCCCAGGTCCTTCTCTGCAGAGCTGCTCTCCAGCAGGTCAGCCCTCAGCCTGTCATGACATTATTCCTCCCTAGGTGCAGGACTTTGCACTTTACATTGTTGCCCTTCATGAGATTCCTCTCTGCCCTTTTCTCCAGCTTGTTGAGGTCCCTCTGAATGGCAGCTCAGCCTCTCCTCCTAGTTTTGTATCATCTGCAAACCAGGTGAGAGAGCACTCTGTCCCATCATTCAGGTCACTGATGAAGATACTAAACAATATTGGCCCCTATATTAACTTCTCGGGTTACCACTAGTGACTGGCCTCCAGCTGGACTTTGCATGCTGATCACAATCATTTGAGTCCAGCAGTTCATCCAGTTTCAGTCCACCTCCAATTTCAATTCACCTCACTGTCCACTTATCTAGTCTGCGCTTTATCACATTGTCAATGAGGATGTCAACGAGGATGTTAGGGGACAGAGCCAAAAGCCTCAATTAAGTCAAGATAAACAACATCCACCGCTCGCCAGTCATCTCATTGTATAAGACACTTAAACCACAAATTGATGGCTTATTTTTCACACTAAATTAAGCCTGTTATATGGAATAAAAAGCTCTAGATTTATTTAAAACGCTAAATCACATAAAATGCTAGCATGTACTATTGAGGTACCGCTCATAAGGCGGAGCAGAGTTTGAATTGGGGGAGTGGGTGAAGGGGGGGAACAATCTTCTCTTCATTCCCTGTTTTTCAGAAATACCAGTTTGCTTAAAGACAACGTTTAGGCAGGGCAAGAAAGCATGATGAGAAAACTTAACTAATGGAATTTTTTCCAGTAAATTTCTGTTTGCTTAAACAGAAGAAAGTAGTATTTTGAAGACAGCATTAAGCATGAGAGTATAATAGCTAGAAACAGAGACAAATTTCCAGAATGACACTTTACTTGTAAACAAAAAGCTAATTTGCCAAAAATAACTTTAATAATTTCTTGCTTTATTTTTGCAAAATAATTCCCTTCATCATAAACCTCCCAAAGATGTAGCAGGTTTACATTGCAAATTTAGATTGGTTAAAACCGCATCCTGAGAGGCCTTGACTTTCAGGGTCTGCAGCTCTGGGCTGGAAAAACCAAGAAAATGCTTTCAGGCAGGCATCCCCAAAACTAGCTCCCCAGCTAGCAGCCTGAACATTTTGAATACGAGAGCTGCTATTCTACATCAGACTAAACATGACAAAGAAAGTGAAATAAAAAACAGGCACCCATACAGGTGTGTAGAGAAGAACGAAAGCACAGAGCATGGCTAGAGAAAGCCCCCCGTTTGGTGTGCCAGGAGTCTGCTATTAAGAGGTTTATTAATATGGAATTCACATCCCAATCAACACGTTCAATAGTCATTCTCTAGTGATACCTTTGACCTAATGCATGTGGCAGTGAAGTCCAATGCTTTTTTATTCCATTTGTGCAAAAGCACCTTTTTGTTCTTATATCTTAAAATTAGGTACCCCATGGTTCCACACTGTGGGACAAAGTGAAGAATCATTCTCCGTTAACTTTCTTAAATTCATTCACAATCTTATAGACTTCCATCCATTCCCTCCTCAGTCTTCTGTTCTTCACCTTTAAAAGTGATAATTTATTTAGTCTCTCCTCAGAGAGAAATATTCCAGTATTTCTGATCATCTGATAACCTTCTCGAGATGAGAACGACCGAACATGATCACAGCTATACGGTGGTTGTCTACAGTCAAAACTATGTTTCTGTTTTGTTCTCAATTTCTTTCCTCGCAGTTCCTTGCACTGCTTACTTCACACACACACCTCATTAAGCAAGGGGCTGACAGTCTCGGAGCACTATCCTGCACGACCTCCCAAAGCTAATTTAGAGCCCACCATTACTTGTGTCAGTGTTTGCCCAGCCGTGAACTCCTTCTTATGGGCCAACGCTGGATTTTATCAACCAGTTTATCCAGAGATCCCTCTCCCTCTGCGAGGGCGACGACCAGCACACTGAAATCTCCTCAGGCCGCCCTGACAACCCCTCATCCCTCCTCATAAGCGCGCCGGGCCTGCAGACAAGGTCTCTCCACCACCAGGACCCGCTTTCTGCTCCAGCCCTTTGTCTCCCCTCCCGTCACCAGGCGTTAACC